CCTGAAAATCGGCATCTGAGGTCGGATAAACTATTAGATAGACTTGTCTATTAAGATGTATGTTTTTAATCGATCTACCACGCCTCCTCGTTCAAGAAACCGAAACGATCGATATTCTCACAGGTCTCGCTCTCTCTCACGCGATAGAAGTAGAAAAAGAAGAGAAAGAAGACCAAGAAAAGGAGAAAAGAAAACTTCCAGTTGTCATTGAGGTGACCAGATTCTTATAAATGGTATTATTATAATGTGCAATACATCACATATCATCAGGGCACAAAATTCTATTTTAAATGTCGGGGATTCCGTTTAATTAAGTTGATTTCCGGCGTAGTTTTAAAGCGGCCGGAAATTTTATAATATGGCAGGAGTTTCTAAATTTCGTTTACCGAAAAAAAAAGCAGGTTACGACACGCCAAAATTTTGTGCCCTGCATAGCATAGTTACTTTGGAGGTTTCTTAAAAAATATATTGAGACACACACATTTATAATAATATGTGCGCGAGATGTAATACTGATATCATTATAAAATATTCGTGACTGTCCTTATGATATGTTTATTGGTCATGTGCTAGGTTTTTTATTAATACAACTAAATTTGGGTTGGCAAAGAAACCTGATTTTAATAGAAAATCATTGGGAAGCTGTGTGTGTGTATCTGTTTATCACCGCATCATTGTTAACATTCCTATTTTTGTTAGTAATTAAAAAGGCTTTTAAATATATTTGGACAATCCAACATAAACCAAATTTAGACTCTGCCATATCTACCCATTTCCCCTTTTTTCTTTCTTTTTTTTTTACTACATTATGAATCTGTCCGAAACGCCAATTAAACAAGATTGGCTTAAAATTGCTATTGAAGAAAAATTCGTGAAATTTTTTGAATATGATTCTTTTAATGATTTGGAAATAATTGGTAATGGCGGTTTTGCTACCGTATATAGTGCTAACTCAAAGGATATTGAAAAAGTCGTAGCGTTGAAAAAGTTAAATCATGGTCTTGCTAATGATAACGAAAGTTCGGATGACGAAAGTTCGTTTGGCGGATTTAAAAGCGAAGTAAAAAATCTTTTTCTAATAATTTCATTAACTTATCATTCTTCTTAACTCTGAATACTAAAATATATGCTATAATGTTTATTAAAAGGTTAAAAATATTACTGAAATTAATCATCATGATAATGTTGTTCGGTTCTTTGGAATCACCCAAGGTTGTTAAAACTTTTCAGATCGTTAATGGAGTAGCATAAAAATCCAGACAATTTTAATTAATTGATTCATTTATTAAGATTAAAATTCATTGTCATGATAATGACTAGTCTGGATAATCTAAAAGTCTGAATTATTTATGTATTAGATAAATAATTTTACTAAATGTTTTAATTATTATTGAAACTTTTTTATATATTCAGATCCCAATAGGGAGGCTTATTATATGGTTCTCGAATATGCCAATAATGGTGATCTTCGGTGTTATTTACGGAACATTATAACAAATGTTTTTGTGCGTAACTACTAGTGCTGATGGATGTGAAAAAGCAATAGTGCGTTTTTC